TGTTTCGTAGTCGGATCGGACTTCGATATTCGGAATAAAACGAATTAATTATATATAATAATTATTATTTGGTTAAATATTTGCACTTAAATGAGAAATTTATTTTATTCTCCCGGGCGCTACGGGCAGTATTTAGTAGGACCGATTTGGAGAGTATCGAATTGAGATGTTCGCGAGTTTGAGTCATGAGACATCCGACATCCAAAAATCGAAATTGTCCGCATTGTCGACCATACATAACTCGGTCAAAACCTGCAAGAATAGGTGTGCCAAAAAGCCAATATAAAACACTATAAAAGCCGTCCTTTATCCCAGACACGGGGCATACCTCGAAACCCGGACTCTAAGAAAATCCGGACTCGAGAAAAACCCGGACCCCAACTCGAAACAAAATCCGGACTCGTGTTTAAAAAAATCCGGACTTGACTTTTGAAAACCCGGACTCGAAATAGACAAAACCGGATTCAAAACAAGGACTCTGTGTACGAGAATGCAAAGGTTTTTTGGAAAGGTTTAATAATAGTTAACATGATAAACGATGATTTCTTTATAACAATAATCCTTTATATACATGCGTAAAAACGCACAGCTTGTAACAAGCCTGCAAACAAGTTGTTACAAGTCTGTTCACAAGCTGTCAACAAGTTGTGTTCGCACTGCTTGTTCCCAGTTGTTGTAACAAGTTTGGAACAAGCTGCTAACAACTTGTAACAAGCTTGATGGCATTATCAGCCTTGTTACAAGACTGTGCTAACAAATTTGTTACAGCCATGATACAACAAGGATGTTACAAGGTTGTCAACACAAGGTTGTAACAATCTTGTTATAATTGTTATAACAAGCATGTAACTGACTTGTCAGAACAACCTTGCAACAAGTCTGATAATTTCGACACGGTTGTTACAAGTTGTCAACAAGTTGTTCCAAACTTGTTGACAGCTTGTTGGCAGACTTGTTACAAGATGTCAGATTTTTACGTGTGTTTCTTTAAATAAATTTCTTGACCCTCCACGTGACGTCACATGCAATGCGAGAATACAACGATGAATCATCGTTGTTAATTGTATTAAAACTTTGTACAACGAGTTGCCTTTGTAATTTGTATCATCATGTTTTGTTAAGGCAATGATCGTATAGCACCACCACCAGAACTCAAATTCACACTCCCGACAGCGAGTGATTTTGATAGTGAACCATATGACTGTTCAAGCAATGAGATTCAGTCACAACTACCAACAGATATTCTGCTAATAACAGCAAATGATCATGAATTCAATGCCTGCTATTCGTATATGAAACATGTTCAACGAAGTTATTTTACGAAACTGGGAATGGTATATTTTGGTCGATTTGGTGAGCAGAATAACTCGAATGTGAGAGTTGCATTGATGAAATCTTGGCCCGGACCGACTGAGGCAGTGACAGCAGTGACGAATGCCGCTGAAATTTTACACCCAAAAGTAGTCCTCTTTGTCGGGATCTGTGCAAGCATGGAACGGGCGAAGGCAAAACTTGGCGATGTCGTGATTTCTGCCAAACTGGCGACTTATGATGATAAGAAATTCAAGGCAGATGGTGCAGTTGTGTTTCACGGCACTAAAGCGAATGTTAGTAGAAATATGGCTCGTCTTATCCTCAATGCAGCTCATGGTTGGAGACCACCGTTAAAAGACCCGAAAAGTTTAGACGTTGAAGTTCACCATGACGCTGTGATGTTAAGTGGCTCGGATTTAGTTAATAATCGTGAAAAACGACAAGAGTTACTGAATTCGTTCCCGGACGCACTTGGTCTTGAAATGGAGGGTGCAGGTAGGAACTTCCCGCATCATTCAAGCCTTCCACACCAATTAGACTTCGAACGGTGTATCAATTTGTCAACCTGTTGGAACAAATTCCAGAGGGGGAGGGAACTTAAAGGAAAATGACAATATAAAATTTTTATTTTCTCATTTGAAAGAACTTTTGTAGCTATATATTAACTTCTTTTACCGATTGTAGTTCATATCTTGCTTAGTTCTTGAAATAATTTCACTTGAAGTAATGAGATGTCCGCCATCTTGGATAAATTTTTGATCTCATGAACGGTAGGTTTGGTGACGTCACAATGGAAGAAGTTATTTCGCTGACCTCAGAATGACATTTCGTCAAAAATTTTGCTTCAAGATTGGTCTCTGAAGATTGGTTTAGAAACAAACTTGGAGTAGGGTTAGGGTTAGGGTTAGGTCGAGGACCTTGACCTAAACCCTACTCCAAGTTTGTACTCAAGGGTTAGGGTTAGAGTTGGTGTTTGGAATAGGGTTAGTGTTAGTAAAACGGTTGCTTTGTTACGTTTTGTCACTCTGAGGCCAGCGAAATAATCTCTTCCTGTCACAACAGGGATCAACCACATAAAAGTATTCGTTGCTAACCAAATATTGATTGGTAGATGTTTTAAAGGTTTTGAGTGATCTTGATATTTCGAAGGCAGAGTATAGTTTTGAGTGCAAAATGATTAGTGGTTGTCTAGATAAAAATATCGCGTGGCCCCTGATGTGACGTGACATGCATATCTACAAAAATTGAAGATGGCGGACATTTCATTCCTTTCGATCAAAATATTTGTAGAAGTAAGCAAGATATGGAAAAACGGTAAAAGAGTATTATTTTTTGTCCTAAAAGTCTTTTTTCAAATGAGAAAAGAAAAAATATATTGTCATTTTAATGGGGTATTTGTAGTGTCTTTAATACTGAACAGAAATTAACTGAGATTTTTAACCCAAAACATGATTGGGCTTGATGCGCTATTACTGCAAAATGGGTTAGCGTTATGCCTATGACATGAACACACGTCTACATTTTTGTGCTTAAATTTTAGGTTTATATGCTGCTGTGTATGATCTTGGCATAGAATGGGCTGTAATTAAAGCAGTGTCGGATTTTGCTGACGGAAGTAAAGAGAAAACAAAACTTTGGCAGCCATTTGCCAGCGCAATGGCGGCATCTGTTGTATATAATATATTTCAATATCCTGTTGTGCTAAAAGACTGGCGTCACTACAACGCAGAAGGTAGCTATTCTGTTATACCGACTCTACACGTTTTCATCGACGTAGACCGGACGCAATTCGGCAACGCGACGCGAATTTTTAGTTTTCAAAAACAAATAAAACTGTCAACGGATAAAAATTTTACAAGATATGCAGACCAAATAGCTAAAATTGCTTAAGTGGTTCCGAATATTTGAAAAACATTGAAAAATATTAAAGTTAAATGTCATTGAAAACTGAAAATTCGCGTCGCGTTGCCAAATCGCGTCCGGCCTGTATGGACCTTTAAGCTATGTTTACACGCTACGATTTGTCGTGTACGATTCGTATTTTGGCGTATTAAAATGAGTGCTGGCGCCATAATTCAAAAAATACTTTTTCCAGAGGGGTTAAAAATCATAGAAATTATAAATAACACTAGAGGGAGCATCGAGGATGAAATTTGGGAGCGCGGTAATGGGGGGCAAATTGAAATCACGGATAAACACCACACAATTCTTCGGTTACACTTGAAACCAGAAAAAATTAAAACACGAGTCACCAACCTGGATGTTTTATATGTTTTGAATGTCATTACTACAAACTTTTCCCCAAACGAGAAATTTCCTTTTGAAAATATCAAAATTACTGACATCATCATCATTTTGGGGCGCTCTCAAAAGTTTGTTATAGACAAAATTGAGGTAAAAATGCTTGGTAAAAATCAAAACGGGATTACTTAACTGCCATAAACAAGAATTTAAAGATTTTGGCTCAAACTCACTGTTATTTTAGCGTTTTAATCCCCCCCCCCCCCCCCGT